CGTGTTTGACAATATAGATCTATTGTCCGAGAATTTTTTAGCTTATTCATGTTATGATAAATTCACAAAAGCTTTTGAAGATTAATTTTATATGTAAGCACAAAGTCATACACACACCCTTAATAAACAATATTTCTACACATAAATCTTTTTGTACCTAGTAAGTAGTTATTCACACAAAAAGCAAAAAGAAACCCACTAAATTATATGGAGTTGTGCATTATCACCCAAAGTGAAAGAAGGGGAGTAAAGGATAAGAGTTTCTGCAGGGAAAAAGGGCTACGAAATAAACAAGAAATATAATTAAATAGCTTTAACTTAGGGGACATGCCAAAAGGAAATGAACAGGAGCCAGTGTTTGATACGTTAGGTCAGGGGTACCTACTCAGTGGCTAAAGAAACCCCAGTATCCAAGGCATTTCTCGTGCTATGGTATCTCTCAATCGAGCATCTGAATTCCCTCTTCGTATTCACTGGGACTGCTGTTGGGGTGGAAGCTGGCATGACAATGCTGTCACTTTCGTTGTCCCTAGCCCTCACCCCTATCTTCTAAAGGACTTCGATTTACAGTCCTTCTTATCTCCCAGTGATGCCAAGATCTTGGGAAAATGGAAATCCATCCTCCATCCTCACTGAGAGATGGAGGATCTCAGTCCATAGGCAGCATTCATTAGATTTATTACTGAGGGGAAGTGGCATTTGCCTGGTGCCCAGCCGGACACTGTGAAAAAGGAGGGGGAGTCACAAAGATTCTGAGCCCTCTGGAGAGTCCTTTAGACACTGTCATCATATAAATTTGCAATGAGTTTTCTAACATTTGCATCTCATTCTCAAAGAGCTAATGGTATAATTAAAAAAATTAATTGTTTGAAGTAACAGCTGTCTACTGTCAGAAATATTCAGGTGAACATGTCAATGGGCACAAAGTTATATCTTTTTTAGTATTGTATGTGCCAAATTAGGTTTTTAGAAGTACTTTTAACAAACTCCTATTGTATTTACAGATTAGTCTGCTTAGTGACCACTGTTTTGAAGTGAGGCAGGAAGTCTTTAGTTTGACTGAAAAAAGTTTCTCTTTTCTCACCAAGCAGCCTGAACAACGCTGATCACTTAAATATGGAAGCACTATATTACAAAACTAAGAGTTTAGTGTTCAGAGTAAGGATGACCCAAGAAAATAGTGACCATGTACACACCTTCATGTTCTACAGGGCTGACCTTAGAAAAGCTACAACTCACCCAATGTTGGCGTCATGTTGCCAACAACAATGAATTCAGGGATTTCTAACCCAGGAGCATATCCAGTAGTCCAGGCAACCGAGAGAGACCCATACGTGCCTCTCCTAGAGACGATGACTTGGCTTGTGCCAGCAGTGATGTCCGTGAGTTGAAAAGCAGTGGATTCAAATCCAACCTGAGGAAAACATGCTTATTTTATTTCTTTTTAAAGTGTCCTGTTTTCTGAAGAGTGGGTTAAATGTCAACTTTCCCTTTGTTTTTACAATATATTTCCTTGTCTTATATTCAATTAAAAATAAGTGCTTAAGAAATGACATCTCAGATTTGAAAATTTATTCTACTTTATAATTCAGATTATAGTCTATGACTTTCTCTTTCTATCAAAATATAATCCTTTGAAGGATGGAATTATGTCTCATAATGGCTTCAAAAATACACACGTTACCACAGTCATAGACAATAGCCTTGTCTCTTTCTTTTACTGGTAGAATCAGCCTAAAAATAAATGTAAAGTTGTTCTTTGTTCTCATGTGAATTTATGAAGTGACTGGGAAATGATCTTTCCTACAATGAACTCAGGTAGAAGATTCAAATACTAAGCTGTAACCATGTCATACGACCTGACCACTAGCATTTATCTATGTCACCACGAGCTTGCCGCAGTGAACCAAAGTCCAAATATGAAGGACAATATTCACAATGTTAGTAAATGAAAAAGTCTGCAATATTAATTAATGTTTCATTATAATTTTAATTAGTTAGCATAAAATACCTCAATATTAAATATTCAATATCCAGAAAAGACTTGGAAATTTTGACTTTAGGTGACTGTTGTTTTAAAAATTCCGTATCTTACACTCAAATTCCACAAGATAAAAGCTTTCTGAAACTCCAAAAAGGAACCGTATCTTCCTACCCGATGTAAATCGACAAATTATTTTAATATAATGCATCCATTATGTCTCCTTTGTTATTTGGAGGATGAGATTTAAGAAAATAATTAATCTTAAGAAATTCTATCTGGAAGAATCTCAGTCCTTTCCTAGAAAAGCTGCCCTCTAGTGGTTCACTGAGAGTACCACACCCAAGGCCAATTACCTGAGAATTGGCAGCTTTCTCAGGGACAGGAAGCACCGTGGATTTTGCTTCCTGGAGAATTGTCGGCATTCCATAGAAACGTCCACCAACAAGCATCACAGTCACTAGTTGCAAGGTGAAATTGGAGCCCAGTGACAGGAAGACCTATAAACAAACAGTATCACTGATTTAGAAATAATTTCCAGAGAAAAATTCTGACCTTTGACCTGAGCCATTAGCACATTGTCTCAGGGCAAACAGTTTCATCGATATATGCCTATTCCCCCTTGTCATAAAACAAGCCACCACTATTTAGAGTGTGGGGTGAGGAGTGGTAGTTGCAGAGTACAAAAAATACACACTTGCAAACTTTCCATGTGGGCCCAGATGGCCTCAAGAGTGACAGGAGTCACAGAAGGACTCGTGTGTCAAGAGCACGCTGGCTCAAGCGTCAGCTCCTGAAACCTGGCAAAACTTACTTTCCTCCTCTTCACTGAGTAATAACTAATAACCCTAATGATACTCAAAGTGGACAACTATTTCAGTATACTGATTATTTGAATATTTGGGATAAATAAGAATTACTAACACCATGTATTAAAGATTTTAAAAATTTTGGAGTCTAACAAAATGGGGGAAATTCTGAACTTACTAATTAGTGATAAGCTAAAGCTATTTTTGAAACTTACAACACATTTTCCCATAGGAATACAGTTATTGGTAAAAATCCCCAAGTTATCCAATAACTTGGACATTACTAAAAACTCTGTACAACTTTATTGAATATAGAAAGCAACCATTTCTGTGGGGTCTCTTCTTCTTGTAAATATAATGAATTTAAACCCATATCACACCCTCAAATGTAGAAAAAAATATACCATAGTGGTTTCAAATATTGGTCAACATGAGAGTAACAGATGTTTTATTCATTCAAAATTACATTTACTAAAAATGAATCATAGGCCAAGTGCTAAGGAAACAAATAAATCATAGTATCATAACTTCAATCGTGTGCAACCCATCTCTCCTGTAAGCAGGTCACTGGCTGGGCAGCTAATGATTTTTTGTCCCTATTTCCTAAAGAATGAAGGGCCAGATGGCAGCTTAAAGCACCCAGTCACTTGTGCCTTCCCACCCAGTTCCTGCGCGCATGGGCCCATCCAGTACACAGACTTGGGTATTGCAACAGATCCCCAGGGTGCAGAAATTAAACATTGAAGTTCAACGTGAGTAACAGCTGATTTGAGGAAAAGCTGGTTTACCTACAGAAGAAAAGTGGTTAGATTAATTTGAACAGGAATTGGAAAGTTTTTAGCAGTTGATCATGTTCTCCAGCACGTCCTTCTATTTCCTTGATCCAGGACTACCTCACCAATACTATTCTACATATTGTTCATCATTCTTGAGGGCATTTGGGCACAAATAGAATTTACGGTCCCACAATACCCTGCGCACATCTCCAACATTGTTTGTCCCCATGCTTTTATAGCTGGCAGTTAATGGGTCTTCTTCTGAACGGGGAGCAAAATAATGACAGGAATTATGTCTCAGGCATCGTTGTATTTGCTGAGCTTTTCACAATAATTGGCACATAGTAAGTGCACAATAAATGACCCAACCACAAACGTAAAGTTCCTCTTGCATTCTGACTTAAACTCCCTAAACTTAGACTTGTTCCTTCAGTGTGTCAATGATTCTTATTGTCAGTGTGCGCCTCATAAAAGAAGCCAGTTGTTAACCAGGTGTTAACTTACCAGGTGTTAACAGTTTACATTCCAAGGTCCTAGTGTTAAACAAACAAGAGTCTATTGTTTTTAGAGCCCAGTGGAAAGTTACCCTCTTCAGAGACCCACTTGAAAGCTAGAAGGCACAGCACAGGTGGTTGGGTACATCTCGGCCTCTGGTGTTCTCTGTAGCTGACCTGTCCAAAGTCCTGATTTTACCCAGGAGGGTGGAACAGGGAAAACTAACTGCATATAAACTCCTGTAACAAATATTCCAAACTTCAAAGAGCAATGTGGATATCCAGGGTGAGAAGGAAGAAGGGACCACTGAAAAAATCATACCCTTGCTTTATGCGCATGTCACACCTTGCCGCGGAGTGACCTTGGAAGACTAACTGACCAATAGCTACTCATTTATGTGACTATGTGCAGTCTTATAACATACATTAAAGAATGTGAGACAGAGAAGGACACCATTCAATTCGAAATAGGTTAATGAAAGACCTTAAAGTAAGCGAAAAAAGAGGAAGCTTTTACGGATGCATAAGCTAGTAAACTGTTGTTACTTTTTATTGAAAACACAAACCATAAAAATAACTTAAATGGGTTCAAAGAAAATAATAAGAAATTCATAGATGATAATTCATTTATGGCATTAGGAAAGATAAGTATTTTTATAAACTATACTGCTAAACTTTCAAAGTGAAAGGAAAAGAGGACTATTAACCTTCAAAATGTTCCAGGCAACAAGAGAAACAACCTAAGAGCTAGTCTAGGGTCTGAGTCCATGAAATATATATCACATATTTTGGTTCTCCTATCCACAGTCTGAGAGCAATTTTGTACTGCACACATTGCTTAATAAAATAATAAATAACCCAATCTTTGTAGCAAGTCTTATTGTCAAATGAAATCTTATTATAAAACGATACAAAGCTGTTCCTAGAAAAGTTAAAGGAATGCTCCCTAGTGCTCATTAGCAGATTATAACTTGAATATGTTCAGAGTGTTAATGCTATGAATGTATGGGAAAATATTTCAAGTTACATAATTTAAGCATACTGTATTTTTTAAATTTTTCTAATTTATAAATGAAATTTAATACGATATTCTGGTTAACTTAATCCACCTCTCATTTTCCCAGCTTTGTGCTTTTTATTTCAGGCTTGAGAATTTCTGGATATAGGAAATGGAGGTTAGAAATTGATAAGGCAAGGCCATGACATTGAATCAGTTTCCCAAAGAACTGCAGCAGGTCCTCAAATAATGTCATTTCATTATAACGTTGATGAGAATAAAGATCAATTCTCGGCTGGGGCCACTGTCGGTGTGGAGTTTGCACATCCTCCCCATGCCTGCCTGGGTTTTCTCTGGATACTCCGGTTTCCTCCCACATCTCAAAGATGTGCACATTAGGTGAGCTGGTGTGTCTACAAGGCCCCTGTGTGAGTGAGTGTGTGTGTGTGTGTGTGAGTGTGCCCTGCAATGGATGGTGTCCTGTCCAGAGCTGTCCCCACCCTGCGCCCTGAGCTGCCAGGATGGGCTCCGGCCACCCACAACCCTGAACTGCAATAAGCGGGTAAATAATTATCGTACTTGTTTTTATTAATCTTTCTTAAAATGTATGTATAGCTCACATTTATTTCAATGTTTAATACTTAAGTGTTTGGTCTTTATTTAGAAGTTTGGTGACGTTTCTGTAACTAGAAATATGCCATAGAAATTTAACTCTTGTTTATATCAATTAGCTTATGGTAAAATTGGTTTTGTTATAAGTCCTTTTGCTTAAAGTTGCAGTTTCCAGGAACCTATTAATGATGTTAAGTGAGGAGACTTACTGTACTGGAATGTAAGAATAACCATGAAATCTATGCCTCATTAAGAAACCTCTATTTTTTCCTTTATTAAACAACAACAAAAATAAAGACCCAGCTGCATAAAGACCAAAAGGTTGCATAGTGAGTATAAATTAGTGTAATAGGCTTTTTGCTTATTCTGCATGTTAGCCTATTTTCTATTGATCTTAAATTTATATGAAACCTAGATAAAACAAATAGAAAACTGCTTCATTTTTCTTCCGTTGATGTTTTATCAGGTTTCTTTCCACTACTCTTTAACAATGACATGGGTAGATCTCAAAGCTTTCTGTCACTTTCAGGAATGTAAAAGACCAGACCCACATAAATTAAAAGTTCAACTTGGCATTCAGTTAAAGCTTCCCTATTTATCCTAGTTCGTGCTTGATCTATGGCTGAGTATCTACAATGGGAACGGGTTGTACTACGATTTTCAATAGTCCTTCAATCCCCCCTTGGACCTTTCCATCAATTTTCTGGCACTTCCAGGTTTGGGGCAATGGATACCATACACATTCAACATTAACTTATGAAATACATTAACTTCTCTCCTATGCACAGAGGATATACCATCCTTGGGGGGATTAAGAATAGTCACTCAAATCACTTTCTGTGGTTCAGATTGAGAAGGACTGCAGGGATAGCTACTTGACCAACAGGAATCCATGCATTCTTAACACTCTCACCCCAAAAGTTGGCAGGGAAATCTGTACCCTTTCTCCTCATTACAATCACAGAAAATCATAGCCAATTTCCTATGTTCCAAATTTGTAAAGAGAGAAGCAGGTCCCAGTCTCTGTATTCATGTAGCCTTCAAGCCCAGGGAGCAGACATCTGCCTCTCTCACTGCGCTTTCCTTTGGTGGGAGCACAAGGAGGCCTACAAATGTCTGCCCTATGAGAGTGTGTGCGTGTGCATGTGCGTGTTCACGTGTGTAGGTTAGTGTGTGGGTGTATGTGTGCAGCACTTGGAACAGTTCCTAAACTTTGTAAGTGCTAAATAAGTGTCTGCTACAATCTAGACAAAAATGTTATTATTCCTAAATAGGAATATACTTATTTATTTATAATCTACAAATGTATTATCCAATAATTATGTATTTTCTAAGGCATTTTTGATGGTTACCTTTGAACATCTGAATAGGTCTTTAAATTGATCATGATGTAAGCAAGGGCTCTCCCGAAGGAGTTTTGTCGAAATGATGAGCAAACTGAAGAAACCCCACAAACCTGATTCTTTATTGGCACTGTGTCCACTTTATATCTGGCACCGTCTTTGATCACCAGCTGTCTCGCCGCATTTTCAGCAACAATCGGCTGCTCTTCATGATCAGACGATATTCGAAATCCAACAGCCACATCTCCAAACGTTCCAGCAAGCCGGGTTATGTTAATTTGTATGGACCTAATTAGGTTCTGTCCAATAAGTATTGACTGGTGATCTGAATACAGGGCGAATACTCCATGTGGGTCATCATTTGCATAAACAGAGAACCACGCGATGCATTTCTCCGGATCTAGTTCTGCTCCTCCCTCTACAGACACAAGCTGGATGAAATAATCTTCCTCTACCTCGGGCATATCATCTGGTAGCAAATGGACGTCAAAGCTAGCTTCACTCTCTCCATCAGCAATGGTGAAAAATCCAGTTGTGGAGGAAAAGTCATCAGTAACATCAAACTCACTATTTAATTCCCAGTAAACCTGTAAAAACCAGTAAAAATAAAAGGGAAAAAATTTAACAAAATTATATAATTGAGTATATTGAACCAAAATCCTTTAAATTATGTTTTCCTCTATAATGTGCAAAAAAGAAATTTTAAGGATGCATCATTATATCCAAAGCCAAACTCTCCAACATATGTTAGTGTGGAAAGTATATTAACTCCTTCAGGCTGTCATATGCAATTTGTAGGACAAGATTACAAAATCTCATGATTTTACCTGCTTCTAAAATAATAGCATAATTTGAAGATATAAAGAGAAGGAAGTTCACTTTAAACTGACAGTTCCACAAATACATTATCGAACCATACGCAATATTTGAAGGTAAAAAGTAGGTAGATAATTCAACAATTCACATCAGAATTTGTTTTTGTTTTTTATTAAAAGCTAGTATCTATAAGATATCAAGAATTGATCATTATTTTCCAAGAATTCTTGGTCTCCAAACC